TCGATTCGGGCGCTGTTGATGCAACGCTTGCTGCGCCACATGAGGCTGCCGAGTCATCCCCTACCAAAGATGTCCAGAGCTCTTCTGATGAGGCGGCTGCGCCCACTGCGAAGGCAACCCCACCGGTCGTCGTTCCGAGCGGACATGACGTGGCGGAGCCTTCCTCTGCGGACAGAACCCCGGGTGTCCCAGACACGCCGGGGTCCCTTGAGGCCAGCCCAGATCTTGCTCACCTCCATGAATTCCCGTATCAAGGGGACCCTGATCTTATCCACCTTGAGGAGGAGCATTATCGGTCTGGCCCAGCCTCTACCAACTTCTTTTGCAGAGCGAAACTGCCGCCTTCCCCTGATATGCGGCAGCCTAGCCCGACGGAAGATTCGCCCCGTGAGGGCGATCATGAGGTTAACGTCGGCCATGCTGACCACTTTAGGGGCAAAGAGCTTTATCTTTCGCTGGAAGACCGCACTCGGTTTATTGACACTACGCCCATCCATCTGAAGCGGAGAGTTCGAGAGGTCCACACTACTGGTCCAGTACCCCCTGGTGTAGAGGCCCTTCGCAACAAAACGTCTGGCACGCTAAAACAATTTGCGGAGCTCCTTGAGGATCCCATATTTGCATTGTTAGGTGAGCTTTCCGTAGACATAGGTAGTTTTGAGCAGGTGCGAGACTTTCTCCGTGCAGACTTTCACTCTGATGATGTTCCCAGCAAATTCGATCCCCAGTCCTTTCAGGTCCTGACTTCGCTGGTTGTGGGAGCTTCTGATCGCGAGAATCCGGCGGCCCTGGGCTCCGCGGGTTTTTGGCGACGCCACAGTTGCCGAGTAGATGGGCCTGCGAAGCGCATTCGAGATTTTGCAACGTATCTCGCGAGGCGCTGTTCTGATTATGCGAGGTCTTCGGGAGGCTGGGTCTACTTTGGAGACCTAGTGGGGAAGATTGATGAGGATGGGTCTAAATACCAAACATACGCATTTGTTGCACACGGCCTAGCCGCTTTGCAGCCAGGGACCGTGGAAGTCCTTGGTGTGCCCCCTGAGGACCTTGTCAGCATCAAAGAAACGAGTGCTCATAAGCTGCGGCGCGACTTTAAAGCCTGGCCCCTTCATGGGGAAGAGCGGGCTAAGTGTCCCGTTCCTATGTTCTATCGAGCGTGCCAGGGACATTCCACGTTTGTTGCCTCCATTGAGAGGATATGCGCACCTTATGACCCTGGCCTAGCCAGGTGTCATGGCCCCTCCTCCATACTACTGGCATGAAGACGTTGATGGGATCCATGGTCGGAGAGACTCAGTTCCCAAAGAGCACATCAGGGCTTTGTCTCGAGGCGGACTACGGATTGTTGAGGCTTCTTCCGACCGAGAAGGATCCGAACATGCAAAGCTCAGATCATTTTCCCTCCTGGCTAAGCCAGCGTGGGGATGGAGAGCCTGCTCCCGTGAAAAAGCACCGAGCCATGGGCAAAGACCCAAAGACGGGAGAGCCTCCGACGATTGGGGCACGGCCCGCAGTGGACACAGTCCGTCTGTGGGACCAGCTTCCAACACACAGAGACTCCTGGCCATTAGCTCTAGTTTTCAATGGCCGTGTGCTCACCCGATGTTCGTACCGGGTCTGCCAAGACGGGACTCTCGTGCCCCGTGAAGTGCCAAGGTTCACCGACATCGACAAAGCTGTCACCCTTGCCAAAGTTGACGACTGGTGGGATGCGGAAATACAGTTGATGTCATGGTCAATTAATTGTCTTTAATCAGGAGTGGACCTCATATGAGGTAAATTTTGATAACAAATCCATGCTTGGTTGGGTTCACACTGACGAGATTTTGACATTGCGCCCAAAATTTAGGCATTGGTCTGACAGAGCAGACGCATTTATTCAGTCCGTTCCCTGGGATGATGACGGTCGGTTCCTCTGTGCTGGACTGCGCTGGGTGCGAACTGGCTTCGGCCGCTGCCCCTCTTGCAACAACCCAGTGAAGTATATGTACACGGTTGCACTCAGTTGTTTGCTTCAGTCACTCAAGCACAGAATCATTCGGGACTCACTGTGGAACAATTGCTTTGAGTTGACCGTTCCCAACCATGAAACGCTATCTTGGAAGCATGATCGCTATGTTAGAGACAGAATACTACGACAGCGTAGAGCGTCAGCGGATGCCATGACGAACATCAACAATACTTTGAAGCTGGAGCGCAAATGGGCTGCAGAGAATGGATACATCCTTATGGCTGCTTCAGGTCAAACCTTTGGAAACAGCCGCCCTGGTAGCGTTCCTGCCTGGATTCCTGAGCGCGCCGCGGCCCAGCCGCCGGCGCGTCACGGACCTTTCTTTCAGTACCTTGAACCCCTCAAGAGGCGATTCATAAAATGGATTGCACACTTGGCAGAGAGACAAGGGGTTAGGGCACCGCCGATCGCTGAATGGTGGCCCCTGCTTTGGGCCACACAGATTGATCAATATGCGCGCCCCTTCTTTTGTCCCGCTCTGGCAGCTTTCGACTGGCCAGAAGCACCTGACTCGTACATTTCACCTAACGAGGGTTGGAATGAATGGGAGCGCAGCATGCAGGCGGCAAATACTTTTGTGCCGACTCTTCAGACATTGCAAGACGCAAAAACAGGAGCCGCACCATGGCTGCCCGTTACTCAGGATACTGGTGTGGACGCCACAGGGCCCAGCCCTCGTGGACGCCCGCCGGTTGCTTGGGCAGATCGTTCGTTGCGCGTCTTGCTCGTGAATCCAAGTCTGTAACCAGGCGTAACAAAATGTCTTCTAATCACCTTCTTAGTGCGGTGAAACCTGTCGCTGGTCAAACCGAGACGACAGGTGACGAGGGACCCGCCACAATTACCTTCGATTTCACCGCCGTCTGCGGGTCCCAGACCCAGCAGATGCTTGAAGGGAAGATCGATCTCGATCTGCCCAACGGACTGGTGCACCTTCACCGTGATGATGACTCTTTGAGCATCGCAACGACGAAGAAGCCATATGATATGGCTGCGCAATATGTCATGGAGGACACATGCTACCACCCGGACACGAGCGCGACCGATAGGTTGCGCCTAACGGGAGAAGTCGCACATGATGTCCCTGACGATGTGCGACAAACCATTGAGTGGAATTGGGAGATTCCTGTTGAAGACCTTGAGTTGGGTCTCCGTATCACGCGCGTGATTGTGATCGTCCGTGAGCCCATTAGTGACTTTATTGCCGAGGGGCATTGTATTGCATGCCCCCCGGGGGGGTTTCTTACCCGCGACACAGACGCAGGGCATGACAATGACAAGCGCCTCACGGACGCATGCGCGCTTGATTGGCGCATTCGTGCGGCTGTGGAGACAGATGACCTCATAGAGGCATGGGCCCGTGATATAGGCAGACAGGGTCGCGCAGAGATCCGTCGCCAAGGCATGAAGCTGCAAGATGCTGTGTTCTGGTAATACCCATACGTGGAAGCAACTGAGCTCCAAGACAGCGATGAAGGCCCCTTTCGTACTGCCTGTGACAAATATGGTGCGCATGTTGCGACTGCCGCGAGGGGTATTGTTATATGCGCTAAAATGCAGCATGAAATACGTCTTCGTGAGGAAGGAGGCGCTGGCGAGCCCTCCGACGGCCCAGCCGGTTCGGAAGGGGTCCCTGTTGCGAAAGCAAGGCCAAGCCATGCTGTTCGCCCTGGTCCGCCTCCTCCGCCTAGAAGGCCCGACGTCCAAGGCGATCGGGCCAACGATGACGTTACTGAGTCTCCGCACTCCGCCGGCGGTCAAACCGTCACGGCGGGAGAAGAGCATTCGAGACGTTCTTCTGATGGGGGCGCATGGGATTGGTCAAAGTCCGCGCGCCTGCGCGGCGGGGCCATGGGTGCCGGGCGCGCTGTTGGCGGCTACAACCCCGAGATCCACTGCCCGCAGCACGCGGATGATGAATAGCAGGGATACTGGCTCCATCGCAACGCCATTCACTGGATGTCCCGCGAGGAGAATGAGAGTCGGACGTGGCACTTTGTGCCCCCCTACGAATACGACTACTATTTTCGGAGAGAGAGAGAGAGAGAGAGAGTGAGAGAGAGAGAGAGAAAGGCAAGGGGTACACCAAGGACAAGGACAAGGACAAGTACAACAGGTCAGCCCCCTATGCTGGCCGTGGTAAGGGAGGCAGGCCAGCTCCGTCTTATTGGACAGCTGGCCAGACGGGAGGTTCATCGTCTTCGAACCCGAGACCTCCGTCTCCGCCTGCGCTTGGGCGGTTCCTCTAGTACAACAAGTGAGGGCATGCACAGGCCGTGCGACAAAGTCGCTACGGCACCGACCGCACGACATAGTCGTATCGGTGGAGAGGTTGTATTTAAATTTTGGTGGGGTTCGTCGGGTTTTCTCCGGCCCTCAGCCCCCTGGCAACCACCGTTGAGCGGTAAAATGCTTTTGGGGTTCGCTCCGGTGGCTGTAAATATGTACAGGCCGGGTGGGCTGTGGCTGGTTGGATTCTACGAAACCCGCCGCGGGGGGAGTAAATATGCTCCTCTCCGCCTCATCATGCACTTGCCTCTCCTATTGCCTGCCTTGCCATACCTTGACATTGGTATCACTGTATACCGAAGCTGTATCTACTGCTCGAGTGGGAAAAGGAGCGCGCCGGGGGGCGCGTGGGCGGCCCGTGTCGTCGTCCGTCCCTGGCCGGACTCCTCACTTCCTGTACTTGAGTGTAGTTGCTTAACGGATAACCGATAGTTTCATCGATGTCTCATCCCGTATCCTCTACCACTGAGCAGAGTCAACATGAGACCTTAATTCCTTTGGCGTCTTACCCCGATTCTCAGAGGAAAGACTATTTTGGCTCATGCTTGTCCGTTGGCCCCCTGCTCTTGGACCTTGTCCCTCGGCGTACCCCGCGAGCCCAGTCCTGCGGGGCAACGCGGCGGGCGCGTGGGACTTCGGGGAGTGGGGATTTTGGATCTGATCGCGCGATGGCTTCGGGGGGCCGCCCTGCGTGGTGGAGGCCAGTGCGCGCGCTGGAGACCGCACCGCTCGGCGCGTCGGCGGCTCGGCAGGCGGCCCGCCGCCGGGCGCAGCTGGCCTGCGAGGCAGGCTTGCGGCATGCGTGGGCGGCTCGTGGCGTGGCCGCCAGCGGGCAGCGCGCCCGACGCTGCGGCCGGCGGCCCTCGGCGCACCCGTGCCGGGGCGTTCGCGGCGCAGGCGTAACGCCGCGTGGCACGTGGCGCGCGTCCCGCCTCACGGCTTCACGCAGGCCACCGATGAGGAACTCCATTGGGCTGCCGCAGGGCCCCGCCTTGGAGCGACCCTCGGCTGTGAGCCACTGTGCGAGGATGCCGCGGGGTACGTGGCGGCGGTCACGATGCCCGTCGGCGTTCTTCCCGACGGCCCCGCCCCTGGCCATCCCGCGGCGGCGGCGGGGGATCGGCCCGCAGGGCTACGGGAGGCCGCCCCTCCCTTCGCGCAGGGCGCGGAGGCGTGGCCAGCTGCCGACGCTGTGCCGCGAGCGGCGGAGAAGGGCGCGGAGGACGAGGTGCGAGGCAGCCGATGCTCGCGCGGTGCCGTCGTCTACTCATCCTGTACGCTGGGCCCTGCCCGCGGCTGCACGCGCGGCGGGGGCCGCGACGGCGCTGCCGCGGAGGGCATGCCCGCGCCGCGCACGCCGTGGCCGAGGACGCAGGAGCGGCCCAGGGACCTCTCCCCCGTGAAGGTGGTGAAGGAAGGCCCTGACCGCACGCCGATGGACACGGTCTCGGGGGCCGTGCCGATTCTTGGCGAGAGCGCTGGCGAAGGTCAGGGCTCGGGCGCCCAGTTCATCGTGGACGATGCCCCTGGCTTCTGCTTGCCTGCCGCCTGGGCTGCGGTTGCGACCGCGAGGGCGTTGCGGCGGCGATCGAGCCAGCCTTTCGCGCGTCGCCGGGCGGAGCTGGCAGGCGAGGCCCTGGCGGCCACGCAGCGGTTCCGCACGCTCTTCAACGCCTGGTGGGAGGTCTGGCCGCACGTCGATGACGACGTGTACCCCGCCACCGCGGCATTCGACGACTACGGCTTCAACGGTTCCGTCGGCGCGGACTGGGTGCAGCGGCCCTTCGAGCCGCAGGTCGTGCGCCCGCCGCCGCCGCCGCCGCCTCCACCCCCTCCTCCCCCTCCCTCCAGTTCGGCCCGTGGCGACGGCCGCCGAGAGTTCACCCCGGCCGAGCGGCAGATGATTCTGGCTGAGCTGGAGGAGAATTTCAGATGGGAGCTCTGCAGACGACGCCGATAGCAGCAAGAGTGCCAGCTGCGCGGATGGCCTCATGACGGTTCTGAGCCTTGCCTGCATGCGCCGTGGCTGTTGGTTTCGGCGTGCCGTGTCGTGGGAGTCGCGTTGCGCTTCTGTCCAGCAGCGCGGGGTTCAGGTTGTTGTCCCCCCCGCGGGGCCTGGAGCTGAAGGGGCCCGCCGTGGGGCTTGGGGCTGGATGAGACCACGAAGGGCCCTCGATCCTTGCCTCGGGGTGCTGGTGGGCGCAGCCCCAGCACCGGTGGAGGCTGGCCAAGCCCACGAGACGGCGCGGCGTGCGGCAGGCTCGCGCAGCTCGAGCCCTACGCACGGCCGCGGCGGCGAGGTGAAGACGCCCCGGGGTCGATGAAGCACCGAAGGCACCGAACGCACGCACGCACGCAAACACAACCAAACACACATACACGCAAACACACACACAAACGCACACACACACGCACACACACACACGCACACACACGCACGCACATAACGCACATACGCACGCGCACGCTCACGCACGCACGCACGCACGCACACACACAAACACACACACAAATACGGCACGCACGCACGCACACAAACACACAAACACACACACACACAAGCACACAACCACACACGCAGACACACGCACACAAACAAACACACACAAACACATACACAGTCACACACACAGCCACACACAGACACACACACGCGCGCACACACACACGCACGCACGCACGAACACACGTACGCACACGCACAAACACACAAACACACGCACAACACACACACACAAACCATCACACACAAGTACGCACGCACGCACGCACACACATAAACGCACACACGCACGCACGCACGCATGCACGCGCACACACACACACACACACACACACACACACACGCACAAGCACACACACAAATACGCACAAACACACACACAAGCACCCGCACACAAACACACACAGACACACACACACACACACACGCACAAACACGCACACAGACACACGCACACGCACGCGCACACACACATACACACACACACGCACGCACGCACGCACGCACGCACCTACGCACGCACGCACGCACGCGCGCACACACCAAATTACACACGAACGCACGCGCACACACACACACACACACACACACGCACGCGCGCACGCACGCACAAACGAACGAACACACAAACACACACACGCACAAACACACACGCGGTCACGCGCGCACGCACGCTCGCACACGCACACAAACACACGCACGAACACACACAAACACACACACACACACACGCACAAGCACACACACACACACTCACACGCACAAACACACACACACACACACACGAACGCGCACACACACGCACAGACACGCACACACACAAACACACACAAACACACGCGCGCAAACACACACAGACAGGCACACACACAAGCACGCACGCATACAGACACACGCACGCGCACACACACACACACACACACGCACACACACACACACGCACGCGCACGCGCCAACGCGCGCACGCACGCACGGACGCACACACACACACAACCACACACACAAACGCATACACACAAACCCACGCACGCACGCACAAACGCACAAACGCACACACAACCACAGACACACAAGCACAAACAAACACACAAACACACAAACGCACAAACACACACAGACACACAAACACACACACACACATACACGCATTTACTTTGACACACATACGCGCGCACACGCACACACACGCACGCACGCACGCACGCACACACACAAACACACAAACACACACACACAAACACACGCACACAAATACGCGCACAAACACGCGCGCACGCACGCACGCACACACGCACACATAGAAAAGACAAACACACACGCACACACACACACACACACACACACGCACGCACGCACGCACGCACACACAACCACACACCAACACACACACAAACACACAAACACACAAACACACACACAAACACACGCACACACAAACGCACACACACAGACACACACACATACACAACCACACACGCACACGAACGCACACAGACACACATGCACACGTACACACACGCACGCACGCACGCACGCACACACAAACACACACAAACACACGCACACACACACACACACTCACGCGCACGTGCGCACGCACGCACGCACGCACACACAAGTACACACACAACCACACACAAACACACGCACACACAAGCACACACGAACACACACAGAGACACACAGAAACACAACCACACACAAACACGCACAGACACACACACACAGACACGCACACACACACACACACACACCCACGCACACACACACACACACACACACACACACACACACACACACACACGCGCGCACGCACGCACGCACGCACGCACGCACGCACACACAGACGCGCTGCGCGGAGGACCGCGCGCGCGCCCAGCAGTCAGAAGGCGAGACGGCCGACCACCCACGGGGCAGTGGCCGGGCGCGGCGCGGGGGCGCCAGGGCAGGCGCAGGCGAGCGGCGGGGGCGGCGAGGGGAAGGCGGCCGCAGGGCGAGGCGCTGGAGCGGGGCGGGGCAGCTGGGCGGCGAGCGAGTGCGAGGCAGCAGGGGGGCAGGAGTCCGAGGCGGGGATTTATATTTCACCGCCGCCTGAAGGATCGATTGCCGGAGATTCCGGCGGGCGGCGGGCGTGGACATATTTTCGCCCCCAGGGGCCCAACCATATCCACATCCACCGCCCGCTTGGCCCCAAGGGCGTCGGATCCCAGGCGGTGGATACGGATCAGTCTTCGCCTCGCCAGGAGGGGCGCCACGCCAGAGCCGGGCGGGCAGTGCGCGGCCGGCAGCAGCAGGACCGGGACGAGGGGCGCCGCGCCAAAGAGGAGCGGGCAGGGCGCGGCCCGCAGCAGCGGGGCCGGCGGAAGGGGGGCGGCTCCGGCACCCAGTCCTGACCGGAAGGTCCAGGAGGAGGGGAGAAGCCAGCGAACGAGGCGAAGGCGGGAGCGGAAAGCCCGACCCCCAAGGCCGAGGCGAGGCGGCCGCGAGAGGGTCGGCACTGCGTGGGGAGGGCTGCGGGCCGCGAGGCGCCGGGCCCCCGGGGCGGGGCCCGGAGCGCCCGGTGGGTGGGGGGAAAGGAAAAGGGTTGCCAGGCGATCGCTGCTGATGGTCCACGCGGAGGATCGACCCAAGCCACACACACACTTTTGGTCTGCGGGTCGAGAGCGTGCCTCTTCCGGGTAAGAGCTAGGCGGGGCGCGCAAAGCACTAATTGGGGAGACAGAGCGCAGGCGGGCGGGGCCTCAGGCGGCCGGAGGGCGCGGGGTGCAGGCGGTGCTGAGGAGCTTGCACAGGAAAGCACACACACACACACACGGGGATGCGGACAACACAAAACAGCCACGGGGACACGGAAAGCAAAAACGCACACCGCATCCTCTTGTGAGCGTTTCCCACGCATCCCCTTACCCTCGCGCTACCGCCGTTCATATATGTTTCGAACGTTGCCCATACCGGTGGGAGCGGATCCCTAGATCTTGTGATCACTATGCATCCGCGTCCAAGGGGACTGCGGATGTATGGTGGATCCTCGTTAATTTGTGGTTCTCGCCGGAGGGTTTCTCTCATGTTCCGCTAAATCTCTACACAGATGGATGGCGCCCCCTTTTCACAAAATCTTGTCCTCGCGTAGGGTTTCTTCACTTTGCAGCTAAACCTTGCATGTCCCAACGGGTATTATGAAAACCCACCATTCGTGTGAGGTTGCTTCACACGTCATGGAATGCAGCTATGAATCATACCCAACATCTACTGGAGCGGAGGATGGGAAACGTAGCTGTTGCTCTGGTACCGCACGCATATTGCTTGAAGCCTTTACGGGCTACATGGATGGGGGGGATTATCCCTAAGGGCTTGTCGACTTTTCGCCAATCGACTTGTGAGAATCGAGCCAGATAAACCCAGGTAAATGCAGATAAATCGAGGTAAATCCACGTAAATCTAGATAAATCTGGGTAAATCCAGGTAAATCCAGAGATCTCCAGGGAAAGTTCGAGCACTTCGCGGCCGCTCCAGCGCGAGTCGAAGGACGGCAGAAGTCGTTAAGCCTTTAACGAGATTATCTTGCACATGGCGCCCACACCAAATTCAGGATGTCGTGGTCTGCGTTTTTGGGGAGCGCGCCACTGTCGGCCAACTCACGGACCCCGCAGGGGCCACAAAGCTCTTCTGCTCCCCGCTCCTGCCCACCCGAAAGACCAGCGCTCATCCTCCTCCTCCCTCCCTCCCTCCCTCCCTCCTCCCCTCCCTCCCTCCCTCCCTCCCTCCCCCTCCTCCTCCTCGTCCTCCTCCTCCTCCTTCTCCTCCTAGCGCCGACGTCAAGAGCTCATGCCCGCACGCACGTATTGTTTTGTAATGCCGCTCGGTCGAGTCTGACATGACCGTTGATGTGAAGGTCAGCTCACACGAGGATGGCATCAATTGTGGGGAGCCTCGCCGGTCCAGCGAGGCTCTCGCCGCAATGTTGATGACCGTGGGCACGTGCTTTCATCGGGTGAGGGACTTGGGGCGGGCAGGTGCCCAGGTATCCGACGGCATGTTCTCTTCAGTCCTTTCGTTTCGTTCATCCGTTTCGTTGACGGGCCATCGGACCAGCAGCCTTGGACCTGGAAAAAGATGCCCCTTGGGAAGTGGTCGGGAAGTTTTTGAGACGTGGATTGCAAACATCATAATCATTTGCGGATATTTGGGCGTATTGCAGCATCAGTGGCGCGAGTTGGGCTTACCTTGGTCCCTCCTCCTCCTCCTCCTCCGCGGCCACAGTTAGTTCAAAACTGGCCCTTCGAGCCCTCCTGGGGTGCATCCTAAGATTTTTCACCCTGGGTCGGTTTCCGGTATGCCAGGGGAGGGCCCGACCCCAGGGGCAGAATTCGAAGCGTGAGTCATTCGATCCTCCCGCATCCTGCATCATTCCTCCTTCTCTTCCTTCCTCCCACATCTCCTGCCTCCTTCCTCTCATCCTGCTTCCTCCTATGCCTTCCACCCCCCGCTCCGTTGTTCCTCATTTTGTCGTCGGGGCGATGTTTTACCATCCTCGTTTTTCCTCCCTCTGCTTCCTCCCATCGTTCCTCGTCGAGAAGGAAGTAGATGGGTGGAAGCAGGAGGAGGACAGAGGAGGAAAGAAAAAGGAAAGATATAGGGGGGAGCAGGAGGAGGAGCGAGCATCTCTTCCTCACTGCTCTCCTCCTCTCCTCTCCTCCTCCAATCGTCCCTCATCTCTCCTGTCTCTTCCTCCTCCGCCCCAACTCGCCCAGACCTACGGCGCCGCGCTCTTCCCACAGCGTGGAACCCCAGAGGTCATGACTCCTCCCCCAAGACAGGCACTCCCCCCTAAGCCGTGTCTTGACGGCCCCACGGTGTCCAGTATCATCAGAGGAACTTGAGATCATGATAGTGATACGTTTCAGGATTTGCTAGATTTCCAGGGTTCCCATATTTCCTGATGCTCCGCTCGGGCGGCAAAGACGGGGACCGCTAGATACTCTGGAAACCCCGGAACGCATCCTGAGCTAATCCTACCGTGGCGTCATTGTCGCCTTATGGAACGGGCCCCCAAAGGGAGGCCGGAGATCGCAAAGCCGCCGCGATCTCACAGGCGCGGCGCGGCAAGAGGGAGGTCTGGGGCGACCGTGCGGATGCGCTTTGAGGGTTGGCTCGTATCGCCCCTCCTCCTCCTCCTCCTCCGCCTCCGCCTCCGCCTCCTCCTCCTCCTCCTCCTCCTCCTCCGCGGTGGACAGAGTGACGCGTGGATCAGCAGGATGATCGTCGCGCCAAGAGGAAGAAACACCAAATCAAAGCACGGTGGGGGCGTTTGTTCAGGAGCGTGCCCATGATGCTTCATACCCACAAGGCTTCCTTATCAGATGACGGCGGCGGTGATATCCATGGCCAAGCCTCCGTTTTGTGCTCCATCGGCTTGCAAGACCCTATGTTCTTTGTCCACTGCCCTCGCTATGTAGGCCCGCGGCGGCATACCCTCCCCACGCAGGCCGGCAAGGGCTTCGGGAAAATGGGCGTGGGTTGCGGCGGCGCCTTCTGCGGGGGCGGCTTCGTCGGCGCCGGCAAGGGCCTCGGCGGCCGCCGCCGGTCGGGCGAGTCGCTGGCGGCTGGGGTGCCTCTTCGCCGGTGTGGAGAGGGCCTGATCGATAGGTTCAGACTCTACGGCGTATACAAAAACCTCGTGTAGAAAAAAAGAAGTATAACGAAAACCGTCGGTTTTTTAGACCCCCGGGTGTTTTATGCCGCCCGTTGTTTTTACGCCCTTGGGGTGTTTCTACCCTCCCGTTTATTGTACCCTCGAGGGTTCTTATACCCTTAGACTCACCGAGCGCGTTCCATCGCCAAGCGCCTGCTCGCAAGAAGGGTGCCAGGTGCCGTTGTGCACCGCATCCCTGACAGCCACACTGTTTGTCTGCTGCCGTGCGGAGGGGCGCAAGCCGTGGCTTTACCGTGGCGCACTGCCGCTCTTCAGTGACTTCTCGGTGCGCCTTGGGGGTGCGCCTCTTTGGCCCCCGCTTGCGGTCTCTGCGTTGTCCTCATCCTCCTCCGCCTCCTGTTTCACGCTTCTCCGCTGCGCATTCTGGTGATAAGCTCAGGGGGGTCTGGCTTGTCTTCGGCGGGAAAAGAACATCCGAATAAACACCTTTATGCTTCGATGTGCAGTGGGGGCCCATGCCAAGAAACACCCTGCTTGCCTCCAGGGTGCCCTGGGTCTCTTGGGTTTCGATGGGTCTGCCATAGAAAGCGTGACGTTCCCACACCAAAAATCAGTGGACGTCCTGGGGTCTCAGGGTTGGGTTTCTTGTGGAAGGTTTCTTGTGGTCGAGCTCCTATCATAATGTGTCGTAGATCCTCCGCGGCGGGTCCGGACCATTTGCGAGTGCTTACTCTGCGAGTAGTGGAACCCGCTGGCCCAGAGAGGGGCGGGGCGGGGTTCCTCGGTTCTCGGGAGCTTTCAGGAGATCTCCGGCTCGGGGAGGCTTTCTCGCCACGGGATGCGCTCCAGCAGCTGCGCCTGTCTGGAAGCGCCCCCGGGCTGCCAGAAGCATTCCGAGCGGCCGCCCGGGGCCCGAAAGATGGCCTTGACGCCCCAGGTCTACAGTGATGGGATTATGTTCCACCGCCACTACCACAGGTACAGTCGGCCCAGATTAGTATTTCGACCCTTGTGTCCTGTGTGTGGCAATGTGGCCCTCGGAAGGGTCTTGTGTCCTCTCGCGTGTCCTGTCCAATCGAGTCCGACTGTAGGACGGGGAAGAAGGGAGGATTGGGAGGTCCTCCTCCTCGTCCTCCTACCCATGGCAGTGGTGGGAAATCGGCCCATCATTCAACGACATGATCTTTCAATCCTAGCGTTATTATTTTGGCCTCCGGGGAGGGCAATCAAACATGTGTCCAGGGCGACGAACATTCTCCGGAAATCGTGACGATCGAGATGGGTACGGAAAGAATGGGTACAATGCCCAACAGCAGTTCCTGTTCATTTTGAACTGGGCTCGCTGTCCGCGCCGCCGCGGCCTGTGTCCCTTTGAGACGGAAGGCCGCCTGCACAACAGCGGCCGCTGTTGGTTTGGGCAACATGTGTTGTTGGGCATTGTAACTACCTATCTTCTCCGTATTCATTTCGGGCGTCCAAAGGGAAGGTATCGTTTTTTTTTGGGCCGCGCATTGAAAAAAACACATCGTCTGATGTTTGGGTCTCTTGTTTCTGTATGCGCATTTCGGCCATGCATTGTCGCAGGCACCAGACACGCATGGGGAGAGAGAAGAGGGAGGGGAGAGGAGGAGGAGAAGGAGGAGGAGAAGGAGGAGGAGGAGGAGAGACTTGTGCCCCAAGAAGCAGCTTCTGGAAATCTCTGCAGCGCGGCCAACCCCTGATGGGCCGGTCGAGACATGACTTAAGTCACTATGATGCATGCGCATCCTCAGCATATCGTGCTTTCGGATGCTATATAATTTCAACCTGGCATCGCTCGGGCGTGTGCATTTTTTTCTCGGCGAGGACCATCCAGGACCATCCTGGACCATCGAGCAAAAAAAACACGCACGAAACCGAAAAATGCATGGGAAATGGACGTCCGAGCGATGGCGAGTTCAAGCGGGGAATGGGCAACACACACGCTCTGGCGATGATGTTTTGGTGCTCGGCCAAGACTCTGCTACCTTGGCTGTATCCTTGCTTGCTCAGCGAGTTCGAGCAAAAACACTATTATGTAGAGATGCGCTGCCTGCCGTCAACGTTGTGGCACTGATGCCGAGAAGACAATGCAAGACAATGCGTCCACCAACCAGCCCCAACCAACCAACCACTATCGAGTCGCAGTGCATAAAATGCGCAAGCCGCAGCCCCTTCTTCGAGAGAGCTGTTATACGACTTGACAATCTGGACAAGATGCTTGTCGCCCAAACTCCATGCGATGCCTATGGCGGAGAAGCCTCCGTGTTGAGAGCGCCATGGCTTCACAGCGCGATTTACTACACGCTGCACGCCTGCAGCCTGCCACTGGCTGCAGTACGGCATTACAATACGAGTCAAAGGCTGTTGCTCATGGACAGTCGAGCCAGGGAGGCGAAAAATGGGGGGCCGCACCCCCAAGATTCGTGGTAATAGTGCGATGTGTGAGGAATGCTGACGCAAAATGCTACAAAACTTCTTGATCTCACTGTCGGCGTGCTGCCGCTCCGAACACAAACGGCGCACGCGGAGCGCGTGTGCGAGCGGCCATGCTCGGTGCACGCCGGCGGGATGCATGCTGCGATCGCTGAGGGGGATCCACAAAGACGACCGCTTGATATGGATGCGGTGATCCATGATGCCCGTGGAGCGCCAGCGGGGCCCACGGTAAAACACGACGTCGAGCATCTGAACCTCATCGGAGGCGATGCTCTCAACTTCTAGCTTAAACACCGTTGACAGCTCTTGCAATCTGGCAATAAGGGCATCCAGCTGTGCTCTGGACCCCGAGTGCACCAGCAGAATGTCGTCACGATACCCAATATAAGCTACTATGCCGTGCAACTCACAGAAACGATCTTGAGACACGCTGTCGCGCTCAACTTGATTGAAATACGCTGCGTCAGCAACCTCCCCACTACAAGGGAGTCCCATGCCAGCGCCGACGGTGACCTTCCAGACCTTGTCGGGCGCTGTGGGGCACGCCACGTACTGGCAATCCAAAATCGCACGCAGCAGCTTGGCGTATGCATCTTGTTGGACGCCGTCGAAAAAAGCTGAGGAATGTGTGACAAGATCGGCATGCAAACCAGACATAAAATATTCTTTTATGTCTATTTTAACTAAGTGGCAATCGGCTGGCACGACTGTGCGCGACATGATCTGTAATAGGTGCTGGGTGTCGCGAGCCAGAAACGGAACACGCCTAAGATGAGGGAACAACGCGTGGGATATCCACCGCATTGCTGGAGCCATCGGATTACGAACACTACAGTGGAGGAGGCGCAACTCCACCTTGCCAGGAGGATTGTGCGTCTTGACGGTGGCCCCAACGCGCGACACGATGTCTTCGCACCGGCTCGCGTCCACGTCCGAAAGCATGGCTCGCTCGAGCGCCCTGTCATCTAAAACCCTGCACGTTTCGCGAACAGCCTCGATGAAATCAGTTACCACTGTCGCCCCAAAACTGTATGGAGCGAGTTTCTCTCGGTAGGCGGGGCCAGACAATAGATGCATGTAGCGATCGTGCAAATCGCTCTTGCGGATTAAACAAAACCGGCATCTTTATCTGTGGGGAGCGCCCTGACGCCGGTTTTTTGGAGGAGGGAGAGAGCAAGCCTAATCACTGCGGGCACTGGCGGAGCGCGACGCCGGCTCTGTACAAGGCACGCCTGCCAGACCTCACGCCTGACAGCGTCAACCATGCACTGCAGAGACAGAGGCAATACAACATCACACGGTTTGCAATATCTTTTTTTGGATCGCAACCGCCACCAACTTTCGCCAGCTGTTGGGTCTTCGGCGTTAGATCCGAAAAACCATCTCCAACGAAGCTTATGCTCCCAATTCCAAAGGGCAAGAGAAACGTGAGACAAAGAAGATTTGGGTGTCATGCAAAACACGTGCTTTCGATGAAACATCGTAAGCAAAAACCGGACTGGCCAGGCCAGCTCGGTACCTGAAGGAACAGTCGCACAATTCGAACGCGGGTGAAACAAATAAACTGGTTTATCATCACATGAAAGCAAAGAGTTGAAATCAGGGGCGGGAAGATCACGAGTGAACTGCAGGAACAAACGGGCCAGCCTCACCGTCACGTCCCCCTCCCTCGCCGCCTGCCTCCAGCGGATCTGCCACGTCCAGACCCTCTCGCGCTTCCTCGTGCGCCAGCGCCCTTCCCGGCGCTCGTCTTGCCGGATGCCTTGCTCTTGCCTTTGCCTTTGCCCTTGGACTTGCCCTTTGACTCGCCCTTGGGGGAGGGCGTGGCTTTCCCGTTTCCCTTGGACTTGCCCTTTGGGTTGCCTCGCCCTTTGCTTTTGCCTTTGTCCTTGCCCCCGCCCTGTCCGGCGGGGACGTGCCGTTTTTTGATAAGGCAGCAAGGCGTACGGCGTCGGCAGAGGATTGGCCAGCGGCCATGGTGGAGGTGTACAGAGATGCCGCCTGGGCGGCTATGGTGCCGCCACCTGCCGGACCTGCTCGGCCAGGCACGCGCTGGCGAGCGATCACACGAGCATCCACGGCCATGTTGAAGAGGTCCGCAGGGCTCGTCCCCATCATCTGCTGGATCAGCTTCTCCTGGGCCTGGTCCTGCTTGGCCTTCTCCTGCTGCTTGCGAGCCTTCTCGTCTGAAGCTCGAGCCACCGCCTTGGCGTAGATGGCGGTGGCTTTGGCCTTCAACCGTTCGGCGTCGACGCCGGCAGTGGAGACCTGGAAGCCGTCGTCGTTGTCCAGGTCCAGATCGAGGTCCAGGCCTGAAACTCTGGACGTCTGGTCGGACAGGGCGGCCGCGCATGTCTCGACGAAGTAATCCCTCTTCGTGAGCCTGCGCAGGTCGTCCCTCTGCTCGGCCAGGAGCAGCACATCGAGTTTCTTCTATATGGCCAGGTG